CCCCAAAACCCCAAAACCCCAAAACCCCAAAACCCCAAAACCCCTAACCAAATATCCATTGTTGGGATGAGTAAATGTAAGTAATAACACCTTAATGGCTGAGTGGCTCTTTATGAGTATTGTAGAACTTTCTGAGATGAGTCATCTCAACTTCGTCCACAACAACAACCTTATAAAGAGGCTTGCAGTAACGGTAGAGGGTGTGGAATACCTGAGCATAGATACTATGAGCAATGACAGGTAAGCAGTTGAACTCCTGTCCGAGATCTCTGAGACTACTCTTAATACACACCTCTGGGGAGATGGTATCTCCTCCTTTACGATGGCCAACAATCTTAGTTGAAACATATCCAGGAGTAAGATTCTGGACGTCAATCTTATCTCCAAAGTTGTCATGGAGGAAGTAAGAGAAGATAGTCAAGTAACGCTTTGTAGCTGGATATACACCAGCATATGGAACGGGAGCATTTTGTCCAGCAGCTGAAACATTAATGATGGCTGACTTCTTATTTCTTGATGTCAGCTTATCTATTAAGCTATGGGTGATCATGGTTGGAGCTCCAGCATTAGTTCTTGCATTTCCCAAATGGAAGTCAAGGCTCTTTTCATCAAATGGAGCGACCTCTCCCCAAGCTGCGTTATTGACTAAAATAGAAATATCCAAGTCTTTAACTTGCTCATAAATCTTTTTGTAAAAATCTACATCAACAGTCTCTCCCAAGTCAGCAGTCACGATCTTTGTTTTAACTTTCCCGTTGATTTTCTTGACTTTTTCTTCCATATCTTGAAGCTTTTCAAGGCTTCTTCCTGAAAGAACGATGTTGAAGTTCTGTTTGGCAAACTCGAGACAGTAAGCCTCTCCAATACCACCAGTTGCTCCTGTGACCATTGCCCAAGTTCCCTTTCCATATCTTTCCTGGATGTTCAATGGCTTTCTGAAATAGTTCCTGATAACAAGCTTAGTGATCATGCAGACTGAGTGCACGAATGTATAGATTCCAATCACCCAAGCAAGGTAGATATTAAAATCGTAGATTGCTCAAAGCATCTTTCTTAAACTAGATTAAATATAATATTGCTAATTTTTTCTCGCATATATGGGGTTTTGGGGTTTTGGGGTTTTGGGGTTTTGGGG